GAAGGAGCAGCAGATCTACGAGCAGCAAGGCATGGAGGAGTACATCAAGTATCAGGTGGAGCATGAAACGCAGCCTTTCAGCCCCGGACCTGCCTTCTCCTTTGTCAAGGTCAGAGAGGATGAAGAGAGAGATGTGGAGAAGCAAACACATACACACTAGAGAAACCCTGCTGCACAGTTATTCCTTGATATCAGTGTTATGTGTCAGGTCGTGTCTCTGGAGGCGTGAATGAGTAATAAGCATAAAACATAAACCTACTCAAACACTCACACATGCTTCCATCTCTGCTGCAGTGAAATATTATATTGTCTCAAATCTGTGTTTGGTCGTGTTGCCAGGCTCTGGAGGCTGTGAACACTCAACTGAGGGAGCTTTATCCTGAGAGCGAGGAGCTATTTGATGTTGTGCTCATGACCAACAACCACGCACACGTTGGCCTACGACTTATCAATACCATCAATCATCACCGTGAGTAACTAAGACACATGAATGATGAAATCTTGCAAGGCATAATTATGTTGCTATGGGTATCTTGTCAGCTATTGGCTGCACTGCTGTCCTGCAAGCCAATTACCCTTACCACAACCACCACCAAGTGTGTGCCTAAACCTAAGTTATTGATTATATGCATGTCAACCGGTTAATCCTACAGCTGCGCACATTGGCCAGAGGGCCAACAGGGTTAACCTCCTTCGTGTTGCTGTGTATTACCACCATCACTCCACTAGATGGCACTGTCGCAAAAGAACTAGGGTCCTAGAACTGCGGTCCCAGGGTTGCAGGGGTCCTGAAATTGCAGCCTCTGGTCCTGCAGCTTCATACTGCTGGTGAGGACAGGCTGCAAATGGTCCAGTGTTGCTTTTCTCCCACTTTTTGCTTTACTAACTATAACTAGTTGAATATTTTAGCTAGAGTGCTCAAACTTTTATACAAAGTACCCACATTTGTTTATTACAAATGGCACCAATTCAGTCCCCTACAAGAATATCACAGACCTCGTGAGTTGTCACATACCTGTTGTTTCTTTGTTACAACCTTCCCCATTTCCAGGGTACGTCGTAACACATGCTGGGGTAAGTTGTAATAATTCCGGTTCCCCCAGTCTGCATGTCAAAAGTATTATTAGGCGGTGTATGAATGTGTAGTTCTATTTCTGATGGCAGAGGCACCTTAGCCTGTCTCCAGCAGTGTATGAATGCATGTGAGAGATGTGAGTGTGTTGTAGTGTAAAACACTTTGAGTAGTTGTAAAAAGTAGAAAGGTAACAAGTAGCCCGCACACCGACTATCATTTAAATGGACTGATGTAGCGAAAGAACCCTTCCTCAGTGACTTAATAACATATATATTTATTAATTATGTCTCTTTTTTCAATATGGCATGCTATCTGCAGTTTATTAAATGTTAGTGAGAAAGAATAAAGAGTAAGGGGTTTCTCACTTCACTATTATCTGTCATGTCTGGTGCATGTGTAGGTCCAAGTACTGAAACTCAGACACACACTGACACAAGATCTCAGGCTTTTCCTTACATGTCACTCTGGGTTTCTCTTCTTTTTCCATGCTCTGCCTCTAAATCATTATTTGATGTTACAGTGCCATGAATGTAATAATTGTAAATGAAACCATAAGTGACTTATAAAAACATCTTCCCCAAAATATCAATCCTTATGATTAACTTTTTGTGAGATTCATTCGCAACATTGACTCTTGCACATCTTCAGTTTTATGCACATCAGCTGTTCACTGTACTTTTGATTTCTCCTCTGCAGAGTTGTTCATCGAGCGCTTCTGTATGACAGGAGGAAATAGTCCCATAGGCTACTTGAAGGCCTACCACACTAACCTTTACCTGTCTGCTGATCCAGTCAAGGTTCGAGAAGCTCTGGAGGAAGGTCAGTACAAAAGGAGAGAAGCAACATATTACTGAGAAGCTGTAACACTAGACTAAGGAGGAAAACATTAGTGTTTCTGCCACATGTTACGTGAGATGTATTGATTCATACCTGATTTTCAACAATGGTATTTCAGGTATAGCAGCAGCCACTATGTTCACCCAGGAGAAGATCATGGAGGTGTCGCAGACTCAGCTGCGTGTTGCCTTTGATGGTGACGCGGTCCTTTTCTCAGATGAGTCTGAGCGCATTTACAAGGCACATGGACTGGACAAGTTCTTTGAGCACGAGAAGGCACACGAGAACAAGCCTCTGGACCATGTACAGTATACACATAGTGATAACTATCAGCATCACACTGATATTGGAAATGTAGAGCATTTGGTACATTCAGTGAACGGAGAGTTCTGGTTTACGACAACTTGGGTCTTATGTTTGTACTTTTGACCATCATTCCAATCACTTAAATAACATTGTATTGACTAAAGTAATTTGTGAGATTAGGAAACATGGTGACATCTCTACAAAAAAAATGTTACAGAGAAAGAAAGAAGCAGCCAAAAGACCAGACTGACTGGTAACATGTCAGATTATCAAAAGAACTTCAGTTGGAGGTAAAACTGAAAGCGAACACACCTTAAATGTCGGCAGCAATCCCTAACTGAGCAGGAAAACAGAGTGCATGTGTGTAGCTACATTAAATTAATTATAGGAGGTCAAAGATGAACAAGGGATTTGGTCTGTAAACGTGATTCATAATTACCATTTACCCTTTCTCTTCCAAATAAATTAGTTTTGAACCAGATATAAATCCAGATTTTAGGAACTATCTTGGTAATTAAAATGGTAATGTACCAATAAAAATATATTTAACAATAGGAATGATGGACAATACTATGAATGTAAGACCATAGTTATAATAAAGAAGTTGGTAAACTCCGCATATAGAGCTCAGTTTGTTATGAACCTTGGCCTTTGGCCCAGATTCCAACAATTATATTTGAATTTTAATGTGTAATGAGCCACATGTAAATGTAGAAAATACCATATGGAGACTGTGGGCTTACTCTGTGAAATCTTTCTGCAGGGACCACTGAAAGGTTTCCTGGAGGCTTTAGGAAAGCTGCAGAAGAAGTTTTATGGCAAAGGCCAGCGCATGGACTGCCCCATCCGGACTTACTTGGTGACAGCTCGCAGCGCAGCCAGTTCTGGTACCAGAGCCCTAAAAACTCTGCGCTCATGGGGTCTGGAGATCGATGAGGCTCTCTTTCTTGCAGGGGCACCCAAAGGTCCCATGCTGGAGAAGATCAGGCCGCACATTTTCTTTGACGACCAGATGTTTCATGTGGAGGGGGCAGCGGAGATGGGGACAGTGGCGTGCCACGTGCCCTATGGGATAGCTCAGAGAGTTATTAAGAGAGAAATTAAGGACAAAGAGATTTCTTCAGCACCCAAGTAGCCTGGACATCAATGTTCAAAGGCACAAGCGATTAAAGGGACATTTCATTTTGGATTTCAGCACCTGGAGACGTTATAATTGTATTTAAAGCTTTGAAAACATTTCTTGAAAATGTAACAAACCCTATTTGATGCAATATGACTAATATTGTAATATACAGCAATGTGATGTCACACTAACATTATCAAATAATTGTTTTAATTAACATTCAGTGACATTTCAAGTCAGAGGCTTATTTTATCCAGTGGTTGTTATATTATCAGTTCACAAAGGTTCAGCTTTCTAATATGGAACCCCTTATAAACAGCTAATACGTTGTAACTAATGGCTTTACTAACCGTTAATAATAATCATGTACTAAAGCTTTATAGATTAGTTATAAGCCATTCATAAGAACAATGTTTGTGTTGCTAGATGTGAAAAACATTTTTCACTGATGGACCACATGGCTATCTTGTGTAAAGGAGCTACAGAAGATATAGAACAAAATCCACTTATTAGGCACTTATTAACCAACTAATGTTTACCAACTGCAGTCAGATAGTCAAAGGGATTTTTCACAACATGGTAACCCTAAATTTGTTATTCTTAAAAATTATTTAACCATTATTAAAGCCATTAGTTACAACTTATAAACCCTTTATAAAGATTGCCTTATTATTACTATTATCATTATTATTTTCAGTTGGAATAAAGAGTTACTCTCCTGTATTATTTTTGGTATTTACATTTTTTACCCACAACATTGTATAACACTTTAGAAAGACAAAAAGCCATTCAAAATGATGTCTATTTAAATATCTGAAACAGAACCAAATATTAGATTTATAAAAATCTTTATTTAGACGGCAGGTTACTGAGGAAACATGAAGTGACTTAAGGCTGTTTTTGATAAAGAGGGATTCTGAGTGCAGCCTGGGTGTGCTAACTTGCTGCTACACAGCTGAACTGAAGACATGCCATCAGTCTGCAGAATCTCCATTTTGATTTATACAATTTAATCACTTCACTGCTTGTCTGTGTGTTTTTAAAGCGGTGCCTTTTTCTCACTATTAATCATGCATGTTGTTGGTATATGTATGATGTACGTGTGGTTGTTTGATCAATGTACATGAATGTATTTTAAAATTTCAATGAAGTATAAGTAAAATGGAAACAATTAATTTGTTGATTTAATGTTTCTTCTTTTTCAAGATGAGATTTAACATGTTTAGCATTTATTGGCATCCATTTACTGTTCTGTGAGTGTGAAGTTGGTATTGAATAACAAGCATGCTCAGATGTGGATGTAAATGTAAATCTGGGCCAAATGAGCACTGTGAACTGTGATGCAATCAAATGTTTCTGTTTCAAGGTTGAAGTAAAGATGAGTGTATTAACAAAAACACTTAAAAAATTCAGTATTCCTCACATTCCTTACAGTCCTTACTTCATACTTTCATCACTCCTTACACACGTGTTCTCTTTTCTGTCCCTATTTCCTTCAACAGTTATCCAAAAGTTAAATAATGATAAATCATGTTGACTTGAAGGAATGCTTTTAATATTGCTGCTGCTGTTTACATTAATGCTGTTCATAAGTTTCAGTTTCTCAGGAATGATTTTGTAAGGATGTAGAGGAGCCTTGCCCATGAAGGCAAACAGGACATGCAAACACTTTCCTTTGAGTTCAGTCAAGTCCCATCTCAGACACAGAAGGCTGACATTCCTAAAGCTGACGTGGAAATGTTTTGTGAGTATACATTTTTGTTTGTAATACTGTTCCTTCATATTAATCAACAAATATATTAATTATCAAACATATCTGCTCAGGACAGGACAACTCAGCGTAAACAACAAGTTTTTGTTTTCTTTTTGTATTTCATTTACAGTTCCGGGATTACTTCCAGATTTAAGTGAAATAATTTGTAAGTGTAAATTTTTTCTAAATTTTTCCTTTGTATTAATTTAACACATGTATTATTTATCAAATATATCTGGACATCGCTGCGTAAATAACATGTTTTTGTTTTCTTTTTGTATTTTAAACAGTTAAGGCCTACTTTGGAGACTTATTTGAAATACTTTGTGAGGGGACAATTTTCACTGACAATAATGTTCCTTCATGTTAATCATCAAATATATCAATTATCTAATATATCTGCTCAAGGAAGCTCAGCATGAAAAATAAGTTGTTTTTCGTGTCTTTCATTAACAGGTAAGGCTGTCGTTGTAGGCTCAGGTAAATAGTATGTTTTAAACATGTAGTTTTAAATATCAAAATCTCTAAGCTGTATTCTCATCAGAGACAAAGCTTCTTCTGCTATGTTCTTGCCTAGGAGGTGTTGTGACTGTGGCCTTGACTCCTGCTCTTCTAGCCTCCATAGGTTTCACCTCAGGTGGAATACTAGCAGGCTCCATTGCTGCCAAAATTATGTCATTTCTTGCAATTGCTAATGGAGGAGGAATTGCAGCAGGAAGTCTGTTTGCATTCTTGCAGTCATTTGGTAAAATGGATATTTTATTTATTTGCATCCAGTTTGTCATGGTTTGGGGGTTTTTCATGTTTGGATTTCCTTTTGATATTTTGGGCAACCCCTTCTTCTTGTGTCTTGGTGTATTTCACTTCCTGTCTCTGTGTTGTGTGTTGCTTGTGTTATTTATCCATCCATTAGGTTTGTTTTTTGTCTAAATGGGAGAGTGTTAATACTTTAATTGGACATACGTGTTTTAAATGTAATGTAATCAAATGTAATATAATCTCACTGCAGCTGCAGCTGGTATGTCTGCGGGGGTCACTGGAGCTGTGGTCACTGTTGGAGGAACAATGGGATGGCTGCTGTCATCCATTTGTGACCAAAATGAAACCCACTAAAGATTTACAGAACTGTAACTACAGATATGATAAGATTTACTTTATCACTGCACTGTGATAAATCTGATAACCTTAATAAAATTTTGTTTTCATGTGTATGCCACATCCTCAATTTAAACCATCAGTCAAGAAGCGAGAATAATATTGTTATAAGGACATGAATAGTTTACTAATGGTTTACACAGGACCCGTTTCAATCTTGTCATTAAGTATTTCAATAAGCCAAGAGGTTGTTTTATAAATGTGGAAGATTGAGGCTGGGTTGTTTTCAGGATGTTCCTTAGCTCTGATGACCATTTAAATGAATCTAAAAACTATGAAGATGATGCTTCTGTGCTCTTGAAATACTTTTATGTTATTATACTGTCCAGTTGTAAACCAAAATAAAATGCATGCAAATAATTATTCTGTTGTTGTTACTGTAGCAATTTCAAACATCTGCTGTACTTTACTTAGAAACATTGGAGCTGTGAGCTAATGAAATTTCTATTATTTCTATCTATTAGCACTAAAGACAAAGTATAGCCTGTGGCTGGTGGGAATAGCATTTATTTGCTAGAAACTAAGCTAAAGGATCACCAAGTTACACTTCATCCTGTGGAAACGTCTTCTCATAACTGCTCTGTTGTGGAATCATTCGGTCCATCTCACAGCAAGTATGACACGAATTAGATCATATTAAACTGTATATAAGAGAAATACTGAAATTACAAATTAAATCAGTGCACTGATTACTAAAATATGCCAGTCTGCCTCACATCTTTCAGCTATTTATTACTTATATTAGTCTTTATTAAACAAGGACCATGCACAAAAACACAAAAATGAGGAGACGATTTTCTGCCAGACTTAGCTAGTTAATTTCCAGCTGCAGTCCTGCAGATTCACACAGAACAATCACCAGACACTAAAAACATTAATTTAAAGGCAACACCATTACATAGGCTCGATAACAGCAATAATTATACATACAAATCTACCAGCTCACATCAACATATAAAGAACAGCACATTCATCCAGTGCAACCATGAAATTACAAAGTCAAAATGACTGGTTGCTCAATATCCATTTCTTTGCACCATGGGAAGAAGAATGAAGATTTTCATTCTTTTACCCATGCAAGTTTTCAGCTCAGCTGGAAGAATGTTCCAGTGTTTGATGGCCTTAAATGAAAAAGCCAATTGTGCAAAGGCCAACAGCAGTCTGCCACAGTGGGATGTTTATTTGTTTGAGTTTAGTGTAGATGGAGAGGTTCTGAAAAAAGCTCTTCAATGGTAAGTGCCTTATCTTAAATGCCAAATGAACCTCTGAATATAGAATGACATTTTCAAAACTTCAGAGGTTCAAAACGTAGAAATCAAAACACCTTTACCAACAGTTACACACAATTATTTTAAATTATTCACTTAAGGGGAGTCAATAGCTAACCTATAGGCCTACATGAGCACAAACCCATTTGTAAGGTGGTAAGTCATGAACTGGAGCATCAGCTGAAAATCAGAAAAACTAAAGACTTGCTGAAACAGTTAGTTCATGCTTCATCACACCTGCATTCAGACAAACCTTCATCTTTAACTCACTGAAGAAAATACTGTTTTGGCCCTGTAGGTTGTGGTGGCTCTTATCGAGATCAACCTGCTACAATAGCCTTATATAAAAACGAAGGGCACTTCATTACTAGTGACTGACGGCTCTGGCCGTGTACAGATTGTTCAACTGGGTTATATTAATTTCACTTCTACAAAGTATGCACATTAATAATGGTATCTGCTGAGATCGATATTCTGCACTTAATTAGCTGGATTTGCAGTGCTCATAAATATAGGTGTTATTTACACTGGTGACGCTGGGGACATGTCACCACCACTTTTTGAAATGACTGATTTTGTCCCATTCATTTTTAAAATAATCGACTCTCCAAGAAAGAGAGCAGAGCTGGATTAGGCCCCGGCAATACTAGGCGTAACTGTGCCTGAGCGCAGATGGCCTGACTGTAGTGTTTGACTGACTTGGAGGAATTGATATTTTATTCCGATTTGATTTATACCAACTGCCTGTGAAACTATCAGACTTCCACCAGCAAGTTCTCCTCTACTAGAATTTACAAGCATCACTTCACATCACGTAACACACCCCTGTGCTGGAACAACAGTATGTTTGGATCTGGATCTTTATCTTCCAGGAGATTCAGCTTCTCTGAGTTAGTGTTCTCTTTCCTTTCTCCTCCCTGTGTAAATGGTGTTGTTGAGCTTTGCTCTTGTGAGTTGTGCAGTCTGTTGTCTTTCTTTCACACAACATGCATTGCATGTCTGTCCATAATGGGAGAGCATTCCTCCTCTGTTGAGGGATTAGGAACTGGAGGGTGGCCAGTGCGATTACAGCACAGACCAGTCTGACTGGTAGCTGGAGAGGTGCCAATTCATCTCCGTGGCAGCACATTCGCTTTGACATCTCTCCATAAATTAATGCACGTGTATAGGTTTTCAATTTCTTTTTGAGGTGTTAAAGATGTAAGATTTGTATTACATTTGTATGGCGCCACTCATATTAAACAAAAATGCTACGGAAACAGAAATGGTAAATGAATGCTATTCCAAAGTGTGTGCGCGGGCCCAACCCAGTCAAAAGTCTGGACAAACCACATATTTAAAGTTATTTCTACGTAACTGAAATGTGCAATCAGAGAAGGGCTGAAAATGATTGTTGATTCTTTCACCACAGTGCGATTTTGTCTGAAATGATTTGTATAACAAGAAAGAATTCTCCATTTCCACTTTCTTCTCTCCATGCAGAGCAAGGGCCAGAGCAAGTAGGCCTACCCTACTTTTTGTGACATTTTTACATTCAGTAGAATTAGGTAGCCTACTTGCAGCACATCAGCTCCACGGATATTACACTACCGTTCAAAAGTTTGGGGTCACTTAGAAATGTCCTTTTTGAAAGAAAAGCACCGTTTTCTTCAATTTAGATAACATTGAATTAATCAGAAATACAGTCTAGACATTGTTAATGTGGTAAATGACTATTCTAGCTGGAAACGGCTGATTTTTAATGGAATATTTACATAGGTGTACAGAGGCCCATTTCCAGCAACCATCACTCCTATGTTCTAATGGTACATTGTGTTAGCTAATCGTGTTAAAAGGCTAATTGATGATTACAAAACCCTTGTGCTTATGTTAGCACAGCTGAAAACTGTTCTGCTGATTAGAGAAGCTATAAAACTGTCCATCCTCTGAGCTAGTTGAGTATCCGGAGTATCAGCATTTGTGGGTTTGATTATACTCTCAAAATGGCCAGAAAAAGAGAACTTTCTTCTGAAACTCGACAGTCTATTCTTGTTCTGTGAAATTAAGGCTATTCCATGTGAGAAATTGCCAAGACACTGAAGATTTCCTACAACGGTGTGTACTACTCCCATCAGAGAACAGCACAAACAGGCTCTAACCAGAATAGAAAGAGAAGTGGGAGGCCCGAGTGCAAAACTAAGCAAGAGAACAAGTACATTAGAGTCACTAGTTTGAGAAATAGACGCCTCACAGGTCCTCAACTGGCAGCTTCATTAAATGGTACCCGCAAAACGCCCGTCTCAACGACCATAGTGAAGAGGCGACTCCGAGATGCTGGAAAAGAAAAAGCCATTTCACAGATATTAGACAGAGGAAGATTGGAAAAAAGCGTTATGGACAGACAAATCTAAGTTTGAGGTGTTTGGATCACACAGAAGAACATTTATCAGACACGGAACAAGTGAACAGATGCTGGAGGAGTGCCTGACGCCATCTGTCAAGCATGGTGGAGGTAATGTGATGGTCTGGGGCTGCTTTGGTGCTGGTAAAGAGGGATATTTGTTCATGGTAAAAGGGATTTTGAATAAGGAAGGCTATCACTCCATATTCCAACGCCATGCCATACCCTGTGGACAGCGCTTGATTGGAGCCAATTTCCTTCTACAACAGGACAATGACCCAAAGCACACCTCCAAACTATGCAAGAACTATTTAGGGAAGAAGCAGTCAGCTGGTATTCCGTCTGTAATGGAGTGGCCAGCACAGTCACCAGATCTCGTACCCTATTGAGCTGTTGTGGGAGCAGCTTGACCGTATGGTATGTAAGAAGTGCCCATCAAGTCAATCCAACTTGCGGGAGGTGCTTCAGGAAGCGTGGGGTGAAATTTCTTCAGATTACCTCAACAAATTGACAGCTAGAATGCCAAAGGTCTGCAAGGCTGTAATTGCTGTAAATGGAGGATTCTTTGACGAAAGCAAAGTTTGAAGGACAAAATTATTATTTCAAATAAAAATGAGTATTTCTAACCTCGTCAATGTCTTGACTATATTTTCAATTCATTTTGCAATTCATTTGATGAATAAAAGTGTTAGTTTTCGTGGAAAACAAGAAATTGTCTGGGTGACCCCAAACTTTTGAACGGTAATGTATGTATCATAGCAACCAAAGCGCCTCAGCCGAAAAAAACGCAGCGCCTCCAAAGCGCACCCTAGCGCTCCAAGCTAGGTGTTTTCAGAAGAGCAGCTGGCGTTTTCAGCTGGTAAAAAACGCTTTGGTGGACACAAGCCCTTAACTATTCATCCCTCACCCCTCAATCCTCCCTCTTTGCAGGTGTGGTCTTTGTTAGTGAATCAATATTATAATTATCTCTAATAATCTCAGTGTTTTTGTGACAACTTTACTGTGGTCAGAAATAATGAACACTTTCATTCATTTAGGCTACTCTCTGTCCTTTCAGGTGGACATTATGAGGAATGGAAATATTTACAGACGACACACTGACCCAGTATCTTTCACAGGTTTTAGATTTATTGCAAAATGAATAATCAAAGCTTACTTGCCAACCCTCCAGATTTTCACATAAGACTCCTGTTTTTCATTGACCTCTCCCGGTTTCCTCCCGGGGTCACAGCCAGGTCTCTTGATCTATGACAAATGTTCACAACTTCGTGCCCTTTTCATTGCCTACATTACTGTTTTTGGCAATGTACAGCACCTACAGAATACAGAGTGCTCACAACCCACCCCTCCCACAGCCACTGCCTATTTTGGAGGTCTCAAGGTTGGGAATTATGAACAAATATGCTGTTTAGTAAGTCAATTAATATATTTTGCAATTGCCTCCTTCATTCAGCAAAAGTGAAAATATTTTTATTCATCTTGTTAATGATTTTCATCAGAAGAAGTTAGCCAGCCATCCATTCCACTGCTGCTCCAACTGCTGCTCCAGCACCGGCCACAGCTGCAGTGGCAGCTCCCGACAGACCAGCTGCACCTACGGCAAGATTACACAGGTTTTTAATCAAGGTATCTGCAACATGATTTTACTCTTGTGAGGGGAAGGTCTGCTGTGACCATCTTGCACCGAGGCTGTAATGCATGAAACTGT